TCCCCAGGAGCGCGGTGCATCATGATTTTGTTGTTGTTTGTGCTGTGCTTGGCTCCCTGCATCCTAAAAACTCTAGACCCAAGGAAAACCCTACTCCCCCAAGCCTAAACCTTACACCCTAAACCCCAAACCCTATACCCCAAACCCTATACCCCAAACCCTATGCCCCAAACCCTATACCCTAAACCCCTAAACCCCACAAGGGTAGTCTGACTTAGCAGCCGCAACAGCCGCTATAATGCTGAACAAGTATCCCGATCAAACCACCGCCCTGGGCAGGGGAGATGCTACGCGTATTTCTCAAAATAGTCCCTATAGAATTCTGAATAGGGTTTAGGGTTCAGGGTTTACCTTCAAAGTCCTCTTGTAATCCCTACATGTCCCCAGGGTCCCTCCTTTGGAGAAGCTCTATATGTCCACGACAAGTTGTATGTAGTGACGGCGTCTTCAAGCAGCGCTGGTGCGCTGGACGCAAGTGTTCCCAAAGTTCATACAGAAGAGAGAAGTGATGGCAGCCGTAAACAAGCCTGAAGCCTAGATCCGCAAACGCACGCTCGTCTCTTACACATGATCCCCAAACCTCCTGAAGGCTTGTCAGAAAGAACTTCAGTGTCTTAACGTCTCCGAAACACTTAAACCCTCAATTCTGTAAATCTTGATGCCTCCCGGCCCCCTGTAGGTCGGCTACGGCGGGGTCCAGATGTTGCTTGGCAGGGTCGACCTGATATGGGGGCCTAAATCGTAAAAAGGCTATCAGGGTTGAGGGATTAGGGTTCAGGGTTTAGGGAGCGGGGTTTATGGATCAACGTTAAAGGGGGATCTGATCCCCAATACTGGACAATCAAATTGAACATGGCAATCGCTAAGCTGGGTTTAGATTGAGGTTTGATTGACTGCAATGTGTAAATGATCGTTCTTTGAGAACCCACCATTCATCCTCGTGTGGTGCCTTGTGTATCCCTAGGGTGCACAGCATGTTGAGAGATTCACAAATGCCACTATTATCGCTTCAAAGTCAGAGAATAATTGTTGCATAACATGCCCAGATCCTTATTGAAATTATGTACGCCCCTACATCGCGACTGCCATCATTCTTGATATTGCAGTCTACATATGCTTTGTTTTGCAGATTCCTTGGTGCTCTTGGTCACAGGACCAGTCTGACATGCAGATTAGATTTGCAAGGCCCCCACATGGCGCCGACGCCCTGAAGAACGTATGAAGGAGAGGTTCCGGGGGTGTATGTCCTATTAGGGGCCTTTAGGAACCTACCCTAGTATGGGGTACTATGGTGGTCAGCGGAGGGTAAAGCTGCTACTACCAGTAGCGTGATCGTGATCATCATTTTGGAAGACACTTTGCTAGATAGCACTACAGTATTGTGCCTGTTTTTGCAAAGTTACCTAAATCATCAAAACCTAAGACCTCTGAAGCCCTTCAAACTCCTGAAATCTGGAAACACCCTTAAGCCCAAAACAATGTATGAAACATTTCCCTCAGTTTGCCCCATGGTCCTAAACCCTAAACCTAAACCCTACAATTGTTGCAACTGTCACATGCGCCATCTCGCAGGCCCATGTAGGCTTCACTTCTTTCGGCTGCTTGTTCGGACAACATCAGTTGGGCTGCCCTTATGGAAGTTATACTAGTTTACTAGAACTAGGCAACCCCAGTGTCAAAACAGCAACCCAGTCAAGGGACAACAAATGATCACAACAACAATTACTCTAACAACGGTCATCAATGATAACAACTCTCCTCACCCCCTGCACCCCTGCGGTCATCTTTTGGCCAAGGCTTCGACATCTCCCGCAGTTCGACCAGCCGGACGCAGAGCTTTTCATGACAATCCTGGACAACATCGTGGCCATCATGGCTGCCAAGTTCTAAAGTTTAGGGGTGTGTGGGATTACGTTTAGATACGTTTAGAGTTTAGGGTTCTGGGTATTCTCGGGAATTTCGGAACAAGGCTTTGGTTGAAACTTCCAATGAATCATCTTTCTCTGCGCCATGGTTTGAAATCCTTGTGCCCTTGAAAATCCCGAAAGCAGTGCACATATCTCTGAGATTTCGCCTGCATACTGGTGCTTTCAGCTCCCGCAAAAACTTGTATGTATTCTCCGCATTCCCGAAATTTTCCGACAACGTAAATTGAAAAAAGCCCTTGCGGGATCTCACTGCTGTCACACTTAGGTTGTCTTCCTTGTCGACATGGTCTTTGCTTATGTCCAGGCAGAAGCGTAGGGCTTCCAAAGATGGGGCTCCAAAAATGAGATCTGGGCCGTTTAGGGTTTGGGGTGTGGGATTTGAGATGAGATTTAGGGTTGGGGGGTTTTAGGGTTTAGGGGGTTTAGGCATTTCTTTTTGGAGGGTTGGCCAGAAAGGACTCTTAGTCGTCCCTGCGTCGTTTCCGCTGCGGCTACTCCTGCTCCTACTACTACTATTACTACTACTATTATTACTACTACTACTACTGTTATTGCTGTTACGATTATTATTATCATTGCTATTATTATTGTTCTTGTTATTAGTACTAGTGTCATTATTCTTATTGCTGCTATTACTGTGCCTTGGCGTGTTCCCTGGGTTGTCAGGTGCGTTATAGGGCTGCTAGGTATACTTACCACGTCCCGCTGACCCAGCGAGTATTACATTGCCAACATCATCACTGTAACAGCACATGATCTAGAAGTAAACTTCTCGCTGCAATCACGTGGTTCCCACCCCCTCCAGAGCGACCCTCGATTCCTGCAAGGACCTATATTCCGTAAGTCTAAACCCCTAAGCCTAAACCCTACACCCTAAACCCCAATAAACCTAAACCTGAACCCTACACGGCCAGCATGGTCAGCGTGTCCCAGGGCAACAGCACCGAGGAGCAGGTGAAGGAGCGATTTTTTTTGTTTGGCACACTGCCGGTTTTTTCAGTGTAAGTTTGGTCATTACCATTTACGGCAACTGTCCTTAAAGGGCTGGATGAAGGGGCTAGCATGACTCCCATTTCTAGCTTTTGTGGAAGCGTTCCTGTGAGGGGGCATACAGGCCCGCTCAAGATGACTCCAGCGGAGTTTTTGGTTGCGCCCTTATAATTTCCTGACAATCCTCCTTGGAATCCCAGGGCACCCTGCATCTTGTGCTTAAGGATATTGGGTTGCATGATGGTTCAGAGCTGATCTGGCATGGCTAGGAAAGAGTCGGAGCAACCGATATTCATTCCCCCACTTTCCCTCAAGCACCACTAAGAAGGGAGAGGTAGATATGTTAGGGGACCGCAATATAGACCCAAATATACTACAGTTAATAGTCCTTATTCCCAAAAAGGTACCTCTAATTTTGGGAACCTCGCATATTGACTTGTTGCAGACTCCCAAACCTTGAATCCGTAGCTCTGGACCCTAGAGCCGCTAGACTCTCGGCCCAAAATCTTAACACAAATACTTGAACCCTGATCTTTACACTCTACCCCCAATAAGCAGACCTGAAATCCCCAAAAAAGGTCTCTATCAGCACTACTGTCGGTTCAGCGATCTTTCAGCAGTACTTGTATTTTTTTCCCGGCTCAAAGCCCTAAACCTCAAACCCTAAACTTTCTTGTATGCTAGGCTGCTGTGACCCGCTGCGCACAGCACGTCGCCCTTGTAGTCGAGGCCTTAGAGGCCTCCGTGCATTTGGGGCTGAAAAGTTGGTAGCGGTTAGTGTGCTCCTTGGGGTGCAGGGGTTGTTGTGCTTGGTAGGAACCTAGTATTGATTACATGGGCGTTCCATCATATGCTCACTCAATGTCTTGGGAACGCTGCAGAAACAGAAGCCGTAGTCCTTCTCATAATGGCAGTAGTATGCATTAGTGGTCAGAATCGTAAAAGGGAATCGAATAGCATGCGCTGCGAGCGATAGTGATATCGTTTTGGTCATTGTGATCTCTTTCCTGCTGACATGCAGATCCTGGCATGAATTCTTCAGTAGGGCAAGTATTAGTAAGAAGGACGATCACCTAGGTTTCCGTAACATGTCGGAAAGATCGGTCGGTTATGGTATTCGGCATCATGAGTTCGTATGAGGATTCCTAGCATTTTGTGGAAAGTTTGGAAACCCTATATAACATATCTCTCGAGAACAGGGCAGATTCACCCCGAATGTTTCTGCAATTCTTATCTCAAACTCCCAACTTCGGCTCAAGCTCAATAGCGTTTATAGGACTAGGAAGCCAAGGGCCGCGATTTTCCAAGTCTTTGGCGAGCGGTTGCGCCTCAACTTGCCCTCAGTGCAATGTTCCGCTGTGGTCATAGCATCATTGGATCTTATGGTTTGAGGGTTTGGGGTTTGAGGGGTTTAGGGTTTGAGGGGTAGAGGGAACCCTTTTGGGTTCCCCGCCCCAACACCCCGCAAGCACCAAGTCACAGCTCAAATAAGGCTTACTTGAGAGTTGTTTAGGCCCTGTATGCGGCTGGGGCATGTCAAATCCGGGTAGTGTGTCATCCTACGATGACAGTTGCTATGGCTACTCTTGTTCTCATTGTTGTTCCAGATGTAGCTGGCTTCCGTCTACTCCCTGTTTGGGTTAACCAAGTTAACCCAAGCGCAACCCAGACACCTGATTAACAAACCCCCTTCCTTTCGTAGAGATTAGAACAGGGATTCTAAGATTGAGGCCCTTCAAAGGAGGGGGTTTATTAATCATGGGTCTACATTGTTGGTCTTCTTTCAAACGCTGCAGCAATTGTCAGGTCTTTGACTTCTCGAGGTAAGCCTTCCCCACGCGCATATGGGGGATGGGTTGCTTTTCCGGATGCTGTCATGTGGTAGGACAGGCTATTGCGGAGCCTCTCATGTAATTGAGGTCCAGATTCTGATTTTTTTCTGTAGTCCTACGCCTCAGCCTTCTGGTTTGGGATTTTCTTGTACGAGGAACCCCTGAAGTCGGAGCCCTAAACCCGGCGCCCAAAAACCTAATGAGATCTGCCGAACTGTCTTGATTTTTTCCTTCGGAGCCTGCTTGGGGATACTCACGTTCTCCGTCTAGTTCCCGTATACATCAATATTCTATACACGCACCTTGCCCCATTGCGGGACCCCCTAGGCCCTAGTCCTGAACCCTAAAGCCGAAACCCCTGAACTTTGGACCCCTCAGCCCTAGTTCCCTGAATCCTGAACACTTGGCCCCCTACCCTATACAATGCCCATATGCAGACGGTTTGATTTTCAATTTGTTTTGATATCATTTTCATGATGTTGATGAGCACCAACATCCCAACATATATACAACCCATGGTATAGGGGCTTCCAGAAAAGCAGCCCTGTTTGTTTTCTGCAGCCGCGTCGGGGTACTCCAACTCCTCATCCTTAAGCTTCGACCCTAAACCCCAAACCCTAATCCCTAATCCTACCCTGAATCCTAAGCCACGATCCCTAAACCCTAAATACTAAACCCCAAATCGAGGCTCCCCCGGCTTGGCAGCCATGGTGGTCAAAGTCGAGTGCGACATGGCGGTTGCTGGGCTGTCATAGCCACTAACTCTACCAGATAGCATGCTTTAGGGTTTGGGAATCGGGGTTTGGATCTAGGACCTGTGATTTAGGGTTTATAGGGTTTGTATGCAGGATTCAGGGCTAGGATCTAGGTTCATTTTGGCATTGGTTTCGGCTGAGGGTTCAGGGTCTCTAGGGTTTAGGCGGCTGTACGCTCCTGCTAGACATGTCATGTACAAGGTGCGAGCTGAAGCATTCCAAACAGGTCAAGTAAAGTGGAAGAACGGTAGCAATGAGGACAGCACCATGAAAGCCCCATATCCTGACACCTGAAACCTTAAGCCTAAGCCCCTGGCCCTAAACCCTATAGTAGTTTCCATTTTCTTTTCCATTATCCCTATAAATCCCCAATATATACCCTTGTATAATACAGTAGTTTCCATTTCTTTTCCATTCTCCAATGATATTCTGCCCAGGTTGAGAGCATACCAACCAAGCCCATCGAAGGGCAAAAGCCAGGAACTTCGGGCCTCCGGAAGAAAACGAAGGCCCGAAGGGCAGTTTCAAAGCGAAGGGTCTAGGTTGTGGGGTCGAGAGTTAAGGGTGTAGGGCTGAGGGCTTAGAGTTCAGAGCCAGCGTAGTGTTTAGAGCTTCGGGAGCAGCACTGGGGGCTTGTGGTTTAGAGTTTGTGTTTGAGGGTTTCGGATTTGGTGTGTAGGTCTCAGAGTTTCGAGTTTCGGGCATAGGGATTCTTGCTTTGGGTTTAGGGTTTAAACTTCAGGGTTTATCTCTGAATAATGATGCCATTGACATGGCGGTCATAGGCATATTTGGTCTCTGCGCCGTCATACAGGGCTTATGTCGGGCTAGGTGGGAATCTTACAGGCTTTTGAGTGGAGGGAGTAAAAGGCTCATGCAGAGAACAACCCTCCCCAACACATAGTCAAGCAAGATAATCTTCAGGATTCCAACATCTCCCTGGATCCACGTTAGGGTTTAGGGTTCAGGGTTTAGGGTTTAGGGTTTTTAACGTGCCGCAGAGGTCTTCATGGAGGGCACCTACTTGGCCAACTATGTGCAGAGTGTGTTCAACACCCTCCTGGAGTCCGGAGTTCCGGTCGCCGGAGGTTCCTCTGGGGGTTTGGGCTTTGGGGGGTTGGGGGCTTAAGAACTAGCCTTCAGGGGGTTCTGTAGGGTTTAGAGCACAAGGTTCTGGGGTGGTTATACCCCAGTCCAGTAGAAAGATATTCTTGTGAGTCTGACCTGAGTCTAAACGCCTCTTCTTCAAGTATTTTGTGCAGCTGAGGTTTCATGAGTCCCAAAGTCGCAAGCCCAACACACCTAGAACAAACGTAAACCCCCAACCTTGGAAACATAACGACCCAAGCTCTAAGCCCTACACCCTCAGGCACCCTGGTGGTTTCCGGTGACGGCCGCTTTTGGAATCCTGAGGCAACTAGGGCCCAAGATGTGGTGTTGGTGCTTTGTAGAGGGTCTGAGGTTTAGGGAGTTGATTTGAGGTTTCATAATTCCGGCCATTTTGAGTGCCTTTTCGGGTGGTTGTCATAACTGGGGTCCCCATTCGAGGCGTGTGATACAGGGTTCCCAGCAGAAGCCAGCCATACTTTTGACAGCCATCCATCTGCACAAAAACTGTAGGATGGACTTTCGTTCTCTTGATTCGCACCGGGGAGCTATGTAGAATCCTTGCGTAATGGCATTGCAGTCTTCGTAGGTTCTGCCTCAGAGAAGCCTGAGGCAATCCAGATCATCATCAAGATGGCTTTCGCAGCAGGTGGATGGGAGCGGACGCCCTGAACCCTAAACCCTATACCCCAAACTCAAAACACCTATACCTTTCAGCTTGCCACTCGAAGAACCTGATGCTGAAACCTTGGTAGCTGTCTGCTGTATCTCACTTTGAAAGAATCACATGTACTCTTTCATATTTAAGCGGTTAGCGGTGGCACCTAGGCAAATCCTAAGCCCAAAACCTAGACGCAGAGGGTCCCCGCTGGTAAAGCCCATGAAAGTATTGGCGGGTAATAGTACGCAGTATGGCCAGTTGTCTAGCTGCAAGTCCTACACGATAGCAGCAGCCGTGTCCCGCACAGGAGTGGGGCGCGTTTGGTGCGGCACGGATGGTGTCTGAGACATTGTTGAGTCAAACTTGGAGCGTTTCAAAATGTACTCTGTAAAATCCCTCAAACAGAGTCCTATAATCCCTACAGAACATCTAATAATCCTTTAGGGTCCCTGAGGGACCCCCCGTTTTGTGAAACCCCAGTCACAATGCAGCTTAACTTAGATTACATACCTTCCACTAAGAGGCACGGAGACCTGGGCTGTATATTTTGATCCCCACTAGGGACAGTCACCAGGCGAAAGTCATGCACTTAACCTTAAACCTTAAACGCTGAACTCGCACAATTTCACGGCCAACCCAGGTATCCTGTCAACTCTCTTCAGACCCCCTGCATGTTCTTCAGGCAATTCCATACAAATTTGGTACCTGGGGTACCAAAGTCCTCTTACTACCAGTATGCATCAACTCCTTAGCTACCCCCTATGACCCCTTCTACCATTCTGCATAATGGCACCTATGTTCCTGTTGAGTGTTACCAACATCCTCTTACTATTACCCTACACCCTAAACCCTAAACCCTAAACCCTACACCCTAAACCCTACACCCTAAACCCTAAACCCTACACCCCAAACCCTAAACTCTGGCTGACAGGGAATGGATCCCTCGCTAATCCTATGTTATTCCCCAAGAACAGAGAAGTTTCTATTGTCCCTTCTTTGGACCTCATTTCTTGTCAATACGTCTCCAAAAATCCCTTAGAAGGGCACCGTCTAATTCTAGGATCCCTACCCCTGAACCCTAAACCCTTAAACCTAATTTGTGGAAACCATGAGTACTACCAGGAATACCTAAACCCCAAACCCCAAATCCTCGACCCTAAGCCCTCAACCCTAAACCCTAAATAATCCCATGGGTGCTACCAGGTATGCTGTCGACCCCGGCCACCTCCGCTGTCATTCGCTGCCGCGGCAAGGGCATGGAGCCTTTCGGCGGGTTCATCTGCTCCGCCTCCCACAATCCTGGTGCCTGGATCTTCATTTGATCTAAAGTCTAAATTTCCTAAAAGGGGGATTTATAAGGGATTACCTTGGGGACAATTATAT